CCTAGATTTTACTAAAATATGGGAGAAGCAGAGCTTGGAGCTTGAAGCTTGGAACCTGGACCCTCTTGCACCCATACCCCTACTTCCCAGGCACCCTGGAGCCTGTTACTACTGGAGAGGTCTCCAAATGACACCCCAAGGACCTACCTCTGTCCTCTGTGAGCACAAACAGAGATGCAGGGTGCCTAGGGCTCAGAGGACCAGACGGGAGCAGGAACCCAGCCTGCCTAGTTCCCCGTCACTCATCCCCTTGCTCCTTGCTGTGGCCATAGCTGCCATTTACTCCACTGCTTGAAGGCCTCACCTCATACCCTCTCCCCAACCCTATCACTCCCATAGCGCTCTGTAAACATGATCAGGAGGAAAAGGCCTTTCAGCATGTGTGTTGCTATGTATAAAGAAATTTCCATCAATAAAAGCTGATCTCTTCTCTCTGTCTGATGTATGTTCCACCCCACCCCATCTCCCTGTCTCCATTCCCACCAGAACTTTGCCTTCTTTCCTATCCAGGGCTGGTAATGGGCTGGAAGACAGAGTAGGAGTTGATTTGTGGCATTGTCAACACCTAAAAGTCATTCAATAAATAAATGTGTGAATGTCTCCCAGCATGAGCACACCTGTTACTGTCTTCAGTGCACTAGCTGGAGGCATCTTCAAAATGGCTAATCTTGGACATGACCCTTGACTTCTGCAATACATATAGTTTACCCATCTGGAAAATGGGGAGAGTGGATTGACCAGGGTCACCAGAGTTCTTCCAGCTCTGACATTCTGAATCTGAGATGCTACCATTTTAAGAAGCTGTAATTATGAGCTTTGAAAATATGATGATGCAGGGACATATTTCATACAGTTCTGTGAGTTCTCTTTCTACAGTGTTATGATACTTGGATTGTCCAATCCTATGATTTTAAATTTCATAATTCTACCATTTAAAAATTCTGATGATATGATTTGAATATTCGGATTCCTTGGTTCTGATACTGTAACTTAAGATCTCTGAGAAGAATCCATTTCCCCAACATGAATGTAAACATTTCCTTGACCTGGCTCTTTAAAGCAGTGGTTCGCAACCTGTGGATCACCTAAGACCATTGGAAAACACAGATACTTACATTACAATTCATAACAGCAGCAAAATGAGAGTTAGGAAGTAACAAAGAAAATAATCTGATGGTTGGGGATCACCACAGCATGAGGAACTGTATTAAAGGGTCACAGCATTAGGAAGGTTGAGAACCACTGCTTTAAGGGGTGCTGTTGGGAGAGAAGACAGTGGCTTCTATGGATTTGTGCTCCCCCTTCCATGATGTGTTTATATTAGGAAATGGAAAGGTGGGTGGGTAATAGTAGGATCCAGGAGGGCTTGCTGGAGGAAGAAGGGTAAGAACTGGGTCTCAAGTATTGGGAAAGATTTGATTAGGTGGCAAGAAGTGAGAAGACATTACAGGGAATAGGGACCATATGGGGGAAACAATACCCACAGGGGTGCTCCAGGGTCAGGTTGGGCAGTGGTGAGTAATTAATGTGTTCAAATGTCTCTCCAGGGTGTGTGAGTCTAGGTGACCTGTGACTGGGAGAAGGAGATCATCTATGCTTTATTTGAGTGGAAATAGAGGAAGTGGGCAGGGGTTAACTGAAGGAAGGAAGAGAGCAAGTCAAGGGCAGGTGGTCATCTTGGGAACTGGAAGAGTGGTAACTCCCATTCAGGCAACTGAATTGGCTGGATCAAACAGGCTCTGTGGTGTGGGAAGGGAGCAGGCTTATATCCATTGTGAGAAAAATATACCTCCATGTGTCTGTGTATCTATGTGTACATGTGTGTGAGGCTGCACAGGTCTCACAGTAGTGAGAGACTGTGAGCTGTTGTAGATCTAAGGAAATGTGATTGTGTGAGCCAGCATGAGGAATTCTGAGAATATGAGGTTTCTGTGTGAGGTTCTGGCTTTCTGTACCTAGAAGTCTCTATGTATGTGCCCAGTGAATGTAATCACAAGGGTGAGATATGGTTGACTTTTAAACATGGGGCTGTGGCTCTTAGGGTAACAGTTATCACACAGATGGTTACACACATGCAGGCATATGTTACCAGCGGATTTAGGGAACAAGGTAGCTGAGCAACAGATGTATGCTTGGCCCTGACCTAGGCATGGTAGCTCCATGAAAGTGAATCATGCCAGGCCACTACTCTTGGAAAACAGATATGGGGATCAAGAGTGGGCAATGCATACTTCAAGAGAAAATCACGTTAGCTGGTGGTAAGGGCCACCAGGAGGTGGGTGAACACGAGACACAGAGGAGACAGTACCTGATCTTGTTGGTTTTGGGGAGGGTGAGAGTGAGTCAGAACTGATTTGGCTGGAAGAGCTGCCTGCTCAGGGTACACAAAATGAAGATGAGCTCATCTAGGCCAGTTAAGTCCAAAGGTGAACGGAAGAAAAGACATTTTGGACAGGAAAAATAAAGCAAGTCTGTGAATGCAAGCCCGGAAAGATGATGGATGAGCTTGCTATAGAGGAATTGCAAGTAGCCTATTGTTCCCTCTTTGGAGCATACAAGGCAGAGTGAGAGGCAACAGGAAGTGCTGGGGTGGGGGTGGCGTGGATCTTTGTAGCTCAAAGTGCAACTTTTGGCTAGGAGATAGGGAAGTTTTGAAGAGAGGTCACTTTCACTGTCTGGGCTTCACCTGGATCTGTGGGATTGGATAGTTCTTAAAATTTGTTGGTCAAGTTCACTCCAGCTCCGTGGATCTCATGTAAGAAGCCATGAATCATTGTTCTTAAATGCGGGAGCTTTTCCCATCTAACTTCAGGCTTTCCTGCTTCCTCGCTTACCACTCCACAAATATTTACCGGATGTCTAGTCCCTTGTGTGCCACTATGGGAAGAAATGGAGAGATGGATTGTGCAGGGACTACACTGTGGAAAGGGACAGGAAGAACATGAACTTTGTATGCAGACTTGCTCTTGTTTTCTGTGTGTGGATGTGGGGATTGAACCCAAAACCTGGAGATGCTATGCAAATGCTCTGCCACTCAGCCATACTTCCCGCCTCGTGTGTTCTTTTGAGTCCTGGCTCCTCCACTACTTGTAGGAGACTCTGCAACTGAGTTCATCTCTCTGTACCTCAGATTCCCATCTATGTTGTATCTCCTTCAGGGAGAAAACTCAGACTTTGCACAGTTGCTAGACCTAGTGAAAAGAATAAATAAGTTACAACTAATACTTTTCTGGGGCTTCAAATGAGCAGATTCAGGATTCCTGCCCAGGTCTTTGGGCTCCCAGAATCTGCTTTCCCACTGTTTACCTGGTAAGCCCTCAGGCTAGTGGTTAGTTAGTCTAGGATGAATTTGGGATTGGATTCTCTGTGGCACTGGATTGGACAGCAAAAACATCTTGCAGAAGAGCTGTCAAGCAGTGGCTGCTTTTCCTTAGTATTTCCTGCCATTCTCTGTCAGCTCCAACCTCCTTGCCCAGTCTTTTCCCTCTAGAGCCTAAAGCCATTGGTTCCGTCTCCATAACCTCACCTTCTTGTTTTTTTGTATTTCACTTCCAGTCCCTTCCCTTTCCAACCTAAGTTGTCATGGGGATAGTTTTCAGCAACCTTGCTTTCCTCTTGCCCTCATCTTATGGTATCCATAGCAACAGTCTCCATTCATTTCCATGGCAACTGCATTCTGATCCCATTCCCTGCTGAATTCCGGGCTCTGGGCAGTACCAATAAAGAGACGGAGGGAGAGAAGACATCCCCACACTAAACAGGAGTAGCATCTGGGAAGGGTCAGTGCCCCACCCTCTCTCATGGTCAAGCCAGCCTCAAGTCCCTAGAAGGCATCCTATCCTGCTTCTCCCTATCTTAGAGCCTTGGCTTACAAGAGTCCCCTACTCTCATCTCTGCTAACTCCTCCTAGGCAAAGCACAGTCCATGAGCTTCCTCTCCCAGGAAGACTTCAAGACAGCAGGAGGGCCAGCACAGGCTTTGGGTCTGAATCCCCATCCTGCCAGTTACTAGCTCTGTGACCTTCGTCAGTCAGTTTCCTTCTTAGAGCTGTTTTCTTCCTCTGTAAAACAGGAATCCTAATTCTCCCCTTGTGTTTGCCATGCAGATTAAATAATGTGTGGAAAATGCCTGACACAGGGTAGGTGCATAGTTAAGTACCAGTTTATTTTTATTCTGCTCAGCCACCCCCAAGCAGAAGGAATCTCTCTCCTTTACTCCCCCATCACTTCCTGTATTCCCCAGCCCTGATAACTTTCCACTTTGTTCTGTGGTTATTTGTGTAGCATGGCTTATTCTCCCCCTCTGCAAAGGATACTCTCATTTCCCCCTAAAGAATAGTCCAGCAGGCAGTGTGTGTTTGGGTCGACATGTATTCATGTTTACTTCCGTGTGGCTATGGATGCATCTGTGATGTTATACTTATTCGTGTGTGTGTGTGGGGGGGGGGGTTCCATGTGATTGGCCTGTAACTGAAGTGTTTTAGTGTTTAGGGGCTCTGACTTGAAGCGTTCCACACCTCCGGATTCCTTTGCTGTATGTATGATAGCAGGAGCAATGTCTCAAGCAATCTCCATTGTTTTGGCCAGTCTCTCCAATGGGAGGTTATGCTCCCACCCTACAGTCCCTGCAACTGTTCCCTTTGCAACCAAAATGGGGCAAGTTCTCAAGAGAGGAATTACCAAGGAACAGAGAGCCCGGAGCAGCACAGGCCTGGGACTAGGAGAAGCGCTGAAATGTCATTAGAGGGCAGTCTGGTCTCTGAGTTTGCATCCTGGCTTTCTTACTTCATAACAATATATGGCCCTGAGTTACAATGATATCCACTCTCCCTTTCTTCACTTTGAAGGGGGCTAGCAAAGCCCGTTGCAGGGAGCAGAGATGACTGCAGAGCCCTACAGTAGCATGTATGTAAGGTAACCTGTATGAAGGAGGCAGGCAGGTGTGGCAGGGCACACCTAAGCTAAATGTCGAAGTGTGAGCAGAAGGTAGCCAGATTTGGGTGTGATATATGACTCAGGCCAAGTAAGGAAGCTGGAGGCTGTTCTATTGATGATAAGTTAGGTTACATCCCTTCTATGTTCATCACAGTCAGATCAGAAGCCAAAATCTTTATGATAGGCTCAGTGTCTCTTGTGTTAGTTGCCTTTTGTTGCTGTGATAAAACACAAACCACAAGAAACTTGGAGAGGAAAGGGTTTATTGCATCTTACACTTCCAGGTAACAGTCCATCTCTGAGGGAAGTCAGAGCAGGAACTCAGGGCAGAAACCTGGAGGCAGGAACTGAGGCAGAGACCATGCCACTTAATGGCTTGCTTCCTTATACACCCCAGGACCGCCTGCCCAGGGTGGCACCATCCACAGTGGGCTGGGGCTGGGCCCTCCCACATCTCATAAACCAAGAAAATGCCCACACATATGCCCACAAGCCAATCTGCTGGAGGCAAATCTCAGTTGAAGCTCTGCTTTTCCAGGTGACTCTCTCTTGTGTCGAGTTGACAGAAACTAACCTGGACAAATCTCATCGCCTGTCTTATCTCTCATTACTCTCTATTGTTCACTATGTTCTGGCTGTCCTGTCTTTTTCATTGACCCTTAAGCATGTAGACATGTTGTACTGGCTACTCTCTTGCCTCAGACAGCTCAGCACAGCTCACTCCCTCATTTCCATCAGGGTTCTGCTTCTGTGTCATCCCCACCCCCTCGCCAGGGCTTTCCTGGACACCACGTCTAAAATAACACATTTGGCTGGGTTTATGGCTCCAGTGGTAAAGAGCTTGCCAAGTCTGCATAATTCTCTGACTTCTATCGCTCGTCTGTCTCCGTCTCTCTGCGTCTCTGTCTCTGTCTCTGTCTCTGTCTCACGCACACACGATTAAAACAGCACCTTTTTACACTCTGCTTTATTTTCCATCTTAGTGCTTAGCTCTACTTGAAATGATAGACATTTGCTTCTTTCTTTCCTTCCTTCCTTCTTTCCTTCTTCCTTTCTTTTGTCTGTTTTCCTCAACTCCAATATCACCTTCCCGAAGAAATAATTTGGTGGCTTTGCTTTTTTATTGTATTTCCGGTGCTTAGTGCTGTGCATGACACATGGAAAGCACTTGGTTATTGTTTATTGAGTGAATTCTAGGAAGCTGTGGCAGGATTTGATGAGAAAACAAGATGGGCTAATTTGTATGTTTCAACGTTCTCCCTATCCACAGGATAGAGTGGAGTTTGGGGTACAAATTCGGGTGAGAATCTTATTAGAGCAGTCGCCAAGAACATTCACTGACTCCCTCATGCCAGAAACACCTACTCTGGTCTATGCCCCATATCCTTTGCCAGCCAGATAGGCATTTACCAAATTCTCTTCCTATGCTGAGGTACTGAGAGTCATGCACTCTTTGCCAAAGCTAATCTGTGCCAGGAAAAGGAGTCATGTGCAAAGGTAGGGGCTCTGAGCAAGATCAGCAGTCATTTCTGGCTAGTGGCAAGATTTAAGGGGCATCTCAGTAGGGGCATATGACTTGAATCTTAACAGAACTAGCATGTGGGGGCATTTCTCAGATTGTGCTACCAGAAATGATGGGGATGGCCTTGGGAGTGGAAGATAGTATATGAGCAGTTTGAGAGGTAAGGGACTGAGGAACATCTGAGAAAAAGCAGGATCTAGGCCCAGGTGAGTTATATTAGGGGCTGCTTAATGATTGAGAGTGTGAACAGCCGGGCGGTGGCGGCGCACGCCTTTAATCCCAGCACTTGGGAGGCAGAGCCAGGTGGATCTCTGTGAGTTTGAGGCCAGCGTGGTCTACAGAGAGTGTGAATTCTGAAATCATGCTGCCTGGATTTGAATCCTGCTTGTATTGTTGGTAGCTAACCTCCCTGGACTTTGTTTTCTATATAAAATGAAGACAAATAACAACTTTATAGGGTTGTTAGAAAGAGCAGCCAAGTTATTGAGTACGAAGTGGTCAGAACGATGACTAAATACTAAGTGTTCTAGAAAGCATTCATTGTCTGTTGAACCTCGGAGGGGCCTTTAATGCCAGAATGATGGGAAATTGGACTAACTTGTAGGCAGTGTGAGCAGTGGATGTTTTTGTGGCTAGAGGAGATAGTTGACCAAAGCTGGGTTTGAAATGTGTACTGCCAAGGGAGAGGTGTGAGAGGTTGGTGAGCAGGATCCTGCCATCCCGAGGGAGACAGGAGTGTCTTTGATACTGGGCTGGGTCTAACTTGTGGGGGGTGGCAGCAGGGGTCTCTGAGGTCAGAGAGGAAGGAGAATTTAGGGTGGAAAGCAGTCCTTCAGTCTCATTCTGACTAGTACTTGGGAGGGTGGAGGATGAACATCGAGTAAGAATCCCCACCAGGGCAGAGCCCAGCTCCACTGCCTCTGACCTCCAGCACAGAGGGCTGGCCGTCCCCAGACAGTGTAAGCTCTTGTGCTAGTGGGCAACCCCTTCCACCCACCCAACTTACCCTTGCCTTGCATCCTGGCCTCTGCCGATAGAAGCTGAGGAGAGGTCCTTTAATCCCTTTACTAGCCAGGAGCTCCCACAGCCTGTACTGCTTCCCCCAGGGGGGAAAAAAATCATACTTTTAGCCCAGCCACACCCATTCTCCCACAGCCTCCTCCACTCCTCAGCCTTCCTGGTTCTCCCCACCTCTGTGCTTCTCACCATGCCCTGGAGCTCTGCCGCCACCTGGGTTCCCTGGCAGCCTGGTTGCCATGGCACTGTGGGAGCAGGTCGGGCAGAACAACAGGCAAGACCTGGGACCCGGCTCCTGCCACCTTTCTACCTGAGAACCCCCTGCCCTCCTCCCCCAGCTGAGCAGAGGAGGACATGAGGAGAAAAAGGAAGCTTCCCCGCAGGGCAGCTCTTTACCTGTGAGGATGCTGAATGGGAGGCACTTCCCACTGTGGCCCAGCCTGTGCCTTCACCCTGCCCTCTCACCAGCAGCAGCAGCAGAAGCAGCAGCCGCAGTAACAGCAGCACTAACAGCAGCAGCAGCAGCCGCAGCAGCCTGGGAACCCTGGGAACTGGCCAGGCCTGGACTCCAGGCTGCTAAGGGCAGGGGCAGGGCACAGGGGCAGGGCTGGGTTGGGGAGGGGGGAGGGGAGAACCTGGATGGGCAGGGAACAGGAATCATCAAACAAGACTGGGAGGGGGCTATACATCAAGGAAACTGGTCTGGGGGTAGTTCTGGGAAATCATTGCATGGGGTTATGAGGGGCTAGAGCTGGGAGGGGGAGAAGTGGGGGGAGGGGGAAACTAGGCCATCAGGGGAAGGAAGATTTGAGGTTGGAGCTGCTAGGGACGGGAGTGGGAGGAGACTAGGGGTAGGGTTGTGACTGGACCACATTGTGAGGAGCGGTGGGTAGGAAGGACTGAGGACAGAACTGAGGAAACACCCCGGAGGGAATGTGTCTCAGAACGAAGTTATGGAGATGGGGTTCCAAAGGGAAGGAACTGAAAGGGGATGAAGATAAACAAGGGTACTTGAGGGAAGCAGGCAGTGAGGAAACAGATGGACGGTCTCTTAAATGTTGGGGTCCCTAGGTATCTGAGGAAATGGGAGAAGATGGGGTTGGGGGGCAGGATCTAGTGTACTCACTCAGTTGGGCCTAGCAAGCTTCTCTCCTTGCCACATCCTAGCTCTTTTTATCTCATCCCCACAGTGTGGAGGGTGATGCCCCAGGCAGTGACCTGAGCACAGCGGTTGATAGTCCTGGGAGCCAACCCCCCTACCGACTGAGCCAGCTGCCCCCCACCAGCAGCCACATGGGGGGCCCGCCTGCTGGGGTGGGCCTTCCTTGGGCTCAGAGGGCACGCCTCCAGCCGGCCAGTGTCGCCCTGAGGAAGCAGGAGGAGGAGGAGATAAAGCGCTCCAAGGCCCTGTCAGACAGCTATGAACTCTCCACAGACCTGCAGGACAAGAAGGTGCAGAAGAGATGCTGTGGTTAAAAATGGGAGTGGGATACAGAGAGAGCCAAAGGAGGGAGGTTGGGGTGTGGTACTTGAGGGTGGTATTCAGGGAGGGACAGTAAGGCTGGAACTGGAGAAGACTGACTCCAGGGCCTGTCATTGCACTCAGCAGACATTATTGAGCTCCAATAATGGGGTCCAAAAGATGAAGGAGAGAGACCTGCATCCAGCCTTCAAAGACATGCAGTCTAAGGGGGGAGGCACACACATAACATGACGATTTCACAGTATGATACAATACACTGTCTGGAGGGGCTGGGGCTGGAGAAAAGGGAGGGCGGGAAGGGAGGACAATATACAAGACCAGAAAAATAGAGCCTGGAAGGGCAGTTATCAACATGTTAATTATGGCTATGCCTAGATGTTTGGACTGCAGGTGAATCCTCCCTCGCCCCCTCCCGTCTTTCCTTCCTTCCTGCTTTTCTCTTACTCTGATTCTCTTTCTTCTTCCTTCAACTTATTACTCTTCATTTACTGTTTCCTTTCTTTCATTTTTTGGTTTCTCTAAGCGTTTTCTGATTTTAAAAACTATGTTTCCTTTTTTCTTGCGCCTATATACATCCTGGGATTATAAGTGAGAAAACACTGGGCACAGACAGGGCCTGTCAGGACTTCCCGCAGTTAGTTGTAACTTGAGTGGGGTATGGTTGAGGACCAAGGCTGTGAGGCTCTGGCAACTTTCTGAACTTGTTCCTCTGACAGGTGGAAATGCTGGAGAGGAAGTATGGGGGCTCCTTCCTGAGCCGCAGGGCTGCCAGGACCATCCAGACAGCCTTTCGCCAGTATCGTATGAATAAGAACTTTGAGCGGCTGCGCAGCTCAGCTTCAGAGAGCCGCATGTCCCGCCGTATCATCTTGTCCAACATGCGGATGCAGTTCTCTTTTGAGGAGTACGAAAAAGCACAGAACCCTGCATACTTCGAGGGCAAGCCTGCCTCACTGGATGAGGGTGCCATGGCTGGTGCCCGGAGCCACCGGCTTGAACGGGGTCTCCCCTATGGAGGCTCCTGTGGTGGGGGCATCGATGGTGGTGGAAGTTCAGTCACCACATCTGGAGAGTTTTCTAATGACATCACAGAGCTCGAGGACTCCTTCTCCAAACAGGTCAGGAGCCCTGAAAGGGGCTTTTCTTCTCCATTCCCAGGCTCTGGCTGCTTCTACTGCTTTTTATCTAGTTTCCAAACTGCAAGAACGTGCACTACTGAGCAATTAATAGCAACAAATAGCAGTGATTTGAATTGGGAGTTTGAGAGTGATGAGAGAGAATTGTTAACATGAGAAAAAGTTACAGCTGAGTGTATAATAGAAGCACTGGCAGGGCTGAGACAGGAGGATTAGGAACACCTATATAAAACAACAACAAAAAACCCTAAGGCAGGGATGTAGCTCAGTAGTGGAGCTCTTGCCTAGAATTTTCCAGGTCCTGTTTTTATCTCCAGTACTGTTGGGGGGGACTACATTGTTAAAACAAGCATGTTAGAATATGGGGGCATAGGGCCAGCAAGATGGCTCAGTGGCTGAAGGCACTTGCTGCCAAGCTTGATGATCCCCAGAACCCACACTGTGGAAGGAGAGAACAGAGCGTTTATTTTGAGTACTTTATTTTTATGTTTGTGTATCTCTGTGTGTATGCCAGGTGTGTATGCCAGGTGTGTACAGTTGCCCAAGGAGGCTAGAAAGGGATGTCAGGTACCCTAGAGCTAGAGTTGAAGGTGGTTATTAGGGATCTGGCATGGGTGCTGGGAACCAAACTCCAATCTTCTGCAAGAGCAATATATATTCTTAACCACTGAGCCATCTCTCCAGTCCACAAAAACTGATTTATAAAAAGATTTATTTATTTTATTTTATATGTTTGGGTGTTTTGCCTACATGTATGTATGTGCACACCTGATACCTGTTACATTCAAAAGAGAATGTCTGATCCCATGAAACTGGAATTATGAATGATTGTGAGCCACCCATGGGTGCTGGGAACCAAACTTGGGTCCTGTGAAAGAGTAACAAGTGTTCTTAACCATTGTGCTGCTAGTTTTGTGTCAACTTGACAGATGGTCGTTTTAGAAGAGGAAACCTCAGTTAAGAAGATGCACATATCAGACTGGCCCACGGGCAAGCCCACGGTGCATTTTCTTGGTTGATGATTGATGTGGAGGGTCCAGATCACTGTGGGCTGTGCCACTCCTAGGCTGGTGATCCTGAGTGCTATAAGAAAGCAAGTTGAGCCAGGCAGTGGTGGCGCACGCCTTTGATCCCAGCACTGGTGGAGCAGAGGCAGAAGGATCTCTGAATTCAAGGCCAGCCTGGTCTACAGAGTGAGTTCCAGGACAGGCAGGGCTACACAGGGAAACCCTGTCTCAAAAAATCGAAACCAAACCAAACAAGCAAAAAGGAGGAAAGAATGCAGGCTGAGCTAGCCTGCCTCCAGGTTCCTGCCTTGAGTTTCTGGCCTGACTTCCCTGGATGATGGACAACCTAATGTAAAATGAAATAAACCCTGTCCTCCACAAGTTGCTTTTGGTCATAGTTTTATCACAGCAATAGAAACTGTAACTAGAATAGAAATTGGTACAAGGTTCATGGGATATTGCTGTGATAGACTTGACCATGTTTCGGGGAGAATTGTGGAAGGACTTGGAAACTTGGGGCTAGAAAAGTAACAACAGATGAGCCAACTCTCCAGCCCTGAGAAATGATTCTTGACAGTTTTCCTCTCATCTTCGCATATGCACCGTGACATACAAGCACATGTGCACACACACACAAGTGCACACACATGCAAGTGCACACACACAATAAATGCAATAATGCAATAAAATATGAGTCTATAGAACAGATAAGAAAACAAAAAGTCCCCACTGTTTGAAACTTGCTATAACAGCAAATAAAGGATTTACTAACAGATAATGAACACCTGGTGGATGCCAGGTTCTCTGTATGCTTCACAACAGATCTGTAAGGTAGAAATTATTTTCCCCATTTCTTAAAGGAGGAGACTGAGGCTAAGGCTTGTTGTGCTCTGGTTCATATTCTCCAGGATCTCCCAGTCTGGTAGACAATAGAAGACATATAGGTGCATGGTTGTATCCTAAAACAGAGTATGTTCAGAACCAAGAAGGGATTCTGGGAGGACCAGAGAAGTGTCTTGGAGAAGACAGCATTGTAACTAGGCCTTACAGGACTGAAAAGATGTAGCTAGTTAGAGATGTTGAGGAGGGCATTGTTTGCTCAGGCAAAAATGTGGAATGATGGGAATGGACATGGCAGTGAGTGGAATGGGAGGTCATTCTAAGCTAAGGATATTTTAGCATGGCTCTGCGGGTGAAAATCCCAGTTGTGCCATTCCCCAGCCGTATGACCTCGGACAAACAGTTTCACCTTTTGACCAGCAAAAGGGAGATAAAGCTTTCTTTTTAGTGCTGTTGCAGAACTGTTGGGAAGATGCATTCAACTAGATAACATGCATGAAAGCACCTGGTATATGGTAACTGCTAAGTTAGTTGGATTTTTTTTTCTCCTAAAACTAAGGAGGTACTTGGTAGAAATTATTGAATGAATCAGGCTTTTTAAAAGAAGAAATCCCTGTGATCTGAGCTCTGTTATCTGACCCTGTCATTGGTCTATGCATGCTTCTATGAGGCCAGTAAAAATATGGAGGGAAGGAAAGAAGTAATGAAGGGAAGATCTGCATCATCCATCCATTCATTTATATGATAATTAAGCATCTTTTCTGTGTCAAGCAGTAGCTGATCTAAAATAGAAACTGAGCTCGCACCTATTCCTCAAGGGAAGAGTAGAGAATAGGAGAATAGCATCTGATGGAAGAGATAGAAGAACCAGGCCTGATCTAGCACTCCATGCTATCTAAGTCAGATGTGGGGGAAATGTATTACTTACCTATTTCTGTACAGCAAACTACCCCAAAATTTAGTAACTTAAAACTGACCTTAGGGGCCAGTGAGATGATTCAGTGGGTAAAGGCACTTGCTGGGCAAGCCTGGTGACCTGAGTTCAATCCCTGCAACCTATATAAAGGTGGAAAGAGAAGAACCAATGCCACCAAGTTGTCCTCTGACCTTTACACACACGCTGTGGCTTCTGTACCTATACCTACACATCATGTGCTAACAGACACAGTCATAATAAATTGCAAAACAAATAAGAAACCCTGACATTAGAACTGAGCTTAAGCAACAAATTATCTCTTTGCTTTGTTTTTTCTTCAAACTTAGCCTCTGAAGTGCTCTGATTACAGGTGTGCACCACACGCACACACAACCAACCAACATTTATTATGCAGTTTCTGAGGGCCAAGAAGCTGTGAGGGGCATGGCTGGATGATTCTGCTTCTGGATCTCTCAGGAGGCTGCTGTCATGCTGTGTAGGACACAGTCTCCAAAGGCTGGAGGGGGCCTGGCAGGTTAACTCCTCTGTTGGCAGTTCCTCTCCGTTAGGACTGTTCACAGTGTGGCTTCCCTTAGGCAAGGAGTCTGAAGGATACAAGTCAAAGGGAGTATGCAAGACAGAATTTGACAGTCTCATTCCAGAAATGATATACCTTCATTTCTACCATGTGTTGTGGGCCACACAGACCAACTCTAGTGCAGTGTGGTATCTAAGATTATGAATACCAGGAGGAAGAGGTCATTAGGGGCCAGTTTGGAAGCTAGATATACAGGGAGGTAGAGTTACTGGGTGCAGTTCAGATCCTCAAGAGTAAATATTATGGATTTCCTAAGAGATATTCACACAGAGAACTCTGGGAGGAAGCTGAGATTTGGGGTTTTCCCTGGATGGGAATTTGAGATGGTATGACAGAGGTAAGAGTGTGGCTTGAATGAGGGAGGAGGTACTATTTGACTTGGGTTGATACGGAGATAGACATAGTGGAGTGTCTGTGAAGGCATTTTGTCCTTGTTAGTCCTAGCCTCTGTGAACTCTGTGACTACCTGGGAGTTATTTTGTAAACTATTAAGAACCTATGGGAAGCTAGGCGGTGGTGGTGCATGCCTTTAATCCCAGCACTCGGGAGGCAGAGGTAGGTGAATCTCTGTGAGTTCGAGGTCAGCCTGGTCTACCAAGTGAGTTCCAGGAAAGGCTCCAAAGATACACGGAGAAACCCTGTCTCAAAAACAAACAAACAAACAAACAAACAAACAAACCTTTAGGTTTAGATTTCCTTGTAAAATAAAGGGCTGGACAACACACAATGAATTCAATGGTATTTTTGCAGACTTCTTGTTTCATACTGCTTTGTTTGGACATTTTTCATCTAACTGGTCTTTTGCTTGTGTATTATGGTTTCTGATTTTGTGTTTTATGGGTTTTGATTGGATAAGTATGTGTGTGTTTCTTGTGCTTTTTCTTTGATTTTTTTTAATTATATTTTTCTGGTTTGTTTGATTTTTTGTTTGTTTTCTAAAGAGAGAAAGAAGGCATGGTGTTGGGTGGGTAAGGAGGATCTGGGAGGAGTTGGGGGAAGAGAAACTTTGATCAGAATATATTGTGTGAAAATAAATTTATTTTCAATAAAAAATATACATACATACAAAAGGGTAACAAAGGGCTGGAGAGGTGGCAGGCTTGATTCCCAGCACCCACATGGTGGGTGATGACCCTTTATAACTCCAGTTTCAGGGGATTTGCTACCCTTTTCTGGTCTCCACTGCACCAGGCATACATGTGGTGTACAGACATAACATGCAGGCAAAACACCCAACACCCATATACACTAAGTGAATAAATAAATATTTTAAAGTTTAAAATAAAGAACCTACGGGTGGGGGGAGGTGACACAGACACCTGCTTTTCTAGCCGACCCACCAGGAAGCTTTCCCTGCCTTTCCTTCTGTTTTCTCTCCTTCTGATCCTTGTGCCATTCCTCCCGTCATCATTCCTCCCTTTCCCTTTTCACCTTTCACTGTGTGCAGGTTAAGTCTCTGGCTGAATCCATCGATGAGGCTCTGAACTGCCACCCATCGGGGCCTATGTCTGAGGAGCCAGGGTCAGCCCAGCTGGAGAAGCGGGAATCAAAGGAACATCAAGAGGACAGCTCAGCCACATCCTTCAGTGACCTTCCCCTCTACTTGGATGACCCAGTTCCTCCTCCATCACCCGAACGACTGCCCAGCACAGAACCCCCACCCCAGGGCCGCCCTGAGTTCTGGGCACCAGCTCCCCTCCCACCAGTTCCTCCACCGATGCCACCAGGGACCCGGGAAGATGGTAGCCGTGAGGAAGGCGCTCGCAGGGGTCCTGGGTGCTTGGAGTGCCGGGATTTCCGGCTCCGGGCTGCACACCTTCCCCTCCTTACCATTGAGCCTCCCAGTGACAGTTCTGTAGACCTGAGTGACCGCTCAGATCGCGGGTCTGTCCACCGCCAGCTGGTGTATGAGGCTGATGGCTGCAGCCCCCATGGGACCCTGAAGCACAAGGGGCCACCAGGCAGGGCCCCAATCCCACACCGCCACTACCCTGCCCCTGAGGGTCCAGCTCCAGCCCCGCCAGGGCCCCTGCCAGCAGCCCCCAATAGTGGCACTGGGCCCAGTGGTGTGGCTGGAGGTCGGAGGTTGGGGAAGTGTGAGGCAGCAGGTGAGAACTCTGATGGTGGAGACAATGAGAGCCTTGAGAGCTCCAGCAACTCCAATGAGACCATCAACTGCAGCTCTGGCTCCTCTTCTCGGGATAGCCTGAGGGAACCTCCAGCCACTGGCCTGTGCAAGCAGACTTACCAGAGGGAAACGCGGCACAGCTGGGACTCACCAGCCTTCAACAATGATGTGGTACAGAGGCGGCATTACAGAATTGGCCTCAACCTCTTCAATAAGTATGTGCTCTCAGTTCTAGCTTCTTTACCTCTTCCCATCCTGCATGGGCACCTTGTTTTAGGTCCTAGCTCGAAGCAGTGACCTTGGTTCTACCATCCTGTCATTTGGTGAAATGGTATTTCTCCCCAGATGTCCAGGTATCAAGGACTAGTAGAAGGGTGGCAGAAGGTGGATGCAGTAGTGAATGCTTGGAAAGCTTAGCACTCAGTAGACTTTAGTCAAAGGGATTGCCATAGTTAGAAGACAGCCTAGGTACTGTTGTGAGCACCAGGCCAGCCTAGGCTATAGAGTAAGACCCTGTCTCAAAAGACAATTAACCAAAATAAGAAACAAAGGTGGAAAAACAGGGTTGCCAAATAGAGAGGCCCCCAACATGCCTGAGTTCGGGTCCTAGTGCTTTCAGTATCTGTTTGTCTGATCTTGAGCAAGATGGCAAGATGTTCCCCAAAAATGGCTTCCAGGTGTTGTCATCCCTATACCCCCTTTTCAGAGGGGAGGCAATCTAGAATATGGGGACTAGGACCCCTAATCTGCCTTTGTTCACTCATTGTCTAGCCTTAGGCAACTTGTGTTCCTTCTTTGGGCTTCAGTTTTTTCATCTTTCTGTAAGTAGGGTTGTGTATTTGGCAGCAGGCTGCTGTGACTAACGGTGACTAAGCTCTTCCTAGGTGCCTGGTCCTGTGCCAGGTGCTTAGGAATGGGGGTGAGAGTGTGGCATTTGATTAGAAAATAATTAGAAAACATAAGATGCAATTAGAAAACATTAGATATAGTGGAAGGCATTTGATGTAATACCTCACATCTTTATAGTCTGTTAAACACTGCCACCTATATTTAAGTTTCACAATAACTCAGCAAGGCCAGTAGTAATGTTCTTATTTTAGAGATAAGGAACTGAGATCTGGAGAAGTAAAAGAGGCTCTGCAAAGCCATACAGTTAGAAAGTGATTGCTCAGAGAGACCCCTAGGACATCAAAGTCCAAACTTCCAAATTTTGGTTTCATGGGGCATTCAAGTTCTGCACAGGGCATAATTCCAACCCAGGTTTTTTGGTCCCACTCTCTGAAAACATTGGAGGCACCTCATCTGTAGAAACAGCCACAGAGGCTGGGTAGGATGTAGGACATGGAACAAAGTAACCTATTCACTTCTTCCCTGTCCTGAGGGTCCTGAGATGCAGTCTGGTCTAGAGCTCAGGCCTTTTCTCAAGACTCTGATGGTTTCTGGAACTATCCAGGCAGAGAGTAGGTTCTCATTTCGATACTTATTTTCTTCCAACTGTGGTATGCCTCCACTAAAAGAGGAAATTAGTGTGAGGATGCCTTGGAATTTTGAAACTCTGTGAAATGGGAAAGGTGCTTCTTCTTGTGCTGTGACCACATTATAGAGCCTCAGCTCTCTGAAGCCTTGGTTAGTTGGGCCCCAAATCAGTTCTAGAAATGGGACCAAGCACAGTTCTAGAGGACCAACTATCTCACCTACCTCTTCTCTTTCTGCAGGAAGCCAGAGAAGGGTATCCAGTATTTGATCGAGCGAGGTTTCCTGTCGGACACTCCTGTGGGGGTGGCTCACTTCATCCTGGAGCGGAAAGGCCTGAGCCGGCAGATGATAGGGGAATTCCTGGGGAACCGGCAGAAGCAGTTCAACCGAGATGTGTTGGAGTGAGGACCCCAACATGGGGCAGGCGGGCTAGGGATTCCTGGAAAAGGAAGGCAGGAGGAAGGGAGGGGGCAGTCTGTCTTTTGGGCTCAGATAAACCTTTTCAAAACAAGATGGATAGATTTTCCTGTTCCCATACCCCTCTGCTCCTAAAGGATCTTAGCTCTCTTGACCCTATTCCTAAAGTGTTCTAAGAGTGGTTCCCCACGGGGCATGCTCACCTAATACTTTGCTTTGGGCCTCAGTTTCCCATCACTGAAATGAATAGATTAATGGAAAGTACTCTTAGTGACCATGTGTCTTCAGTTTTCTTAAACTTCAAACTTTCTGTTCTCAGGTGTTTTAGGTCCAAAGTTTGGAAGCATGTCGGTGGGAGTGTTGGGCTGCTTCTGCTTGTGGGTGGCTCAGTGGTTTGTGTAGAGAACTGAAGAAGGCCACCACCCACCCACCCTACTTCTTTACTTTCCAGCTGTGTGGTGGATGAGATGGACTTCTCCTCTATGGATTTGGATGATGCGCTCAGGAAGTTCCAATCCCATATTCGCGTTCAGGGTGAGGCCCAGAAAGTGGAGCGACTCATTGAAGCCTTCAGGTGTGCCTGCTTCCCACTCCTGAAGCCATCCCTTTGTACTTTGGTGCCCTGTTTCCACAAGGCGCTTCTCTGAGCATTTTAATTTTCTCACCATGAAACAGAAATGAAGGTCAGGTGTGCTGAGGGATGGGCCAGGAGGATGTCTGAGTTCGAAGCCAGTGTGGTCTACATAGTGAGTGCCAGGCTAGCCAGGCCTACATTGAGAGACCCTGTCTCAAAGAAACAAAATAAAAACTAACCAAACAAACAACAATCCAGAAATGGTAAATCCCATCTTGAGAGGCCTTTTGTAAGGTTCAGAGGTAGTAAATATAAAGTATCTAGCTCTAGCAACTGAGATATAGGCATATTAATATTAATGACAACATCAGTAGTAAATGGTAACATTCATGGATCTGGGTGTGTAAAACAGTGATAGAGCATTTGCTTGCTGCATGACTATGAGCCTTTGGTTTCTGTGCCCAGTACTGGAAAGGAAAAAGAAAAAGGCTACCATTCTATGAGGTAGATGCTTCTGTTGGTATTTCTATTTTTGTAGATGACAAATCTGAAGTTCAGGGACATTAGAGTAAGTTAGCTGAACCAGGATTTGAACTTGAGTGTATCTAATGCCATAATATCTGTGCTCAGCTCTAAATGCTTTGAAGATCAAACAGAGCTGGGTCTAAATCTTGCTCCACGCCTTTGGAGCATTTACAGGAGAGATGGAGGAATTGCTGAGAACTCATTTCCCATTATGGGAGAAAGATTTGCTTTGCAGCCAGATGATCTGTTTTCACCCCAGCTTTACCATTCACCAGCTCTATTGCCTGGGCAAGTTACCTCACCACTTTGAGCCTTCATTATAACTGTGTAGAATAGGACTGCTTGGGAGTTGGAGGTGTGACTCAGTGGCAGAGCATATGCTTAACATGCTCAAGGCCCAAGGTTCTATCCCCACCACTACATACCCAAAGAAATGGGGAAATAGCAATCATGCAGCGGTGTGATCAACTGCATGAGACAATGCACATAAGTCTCCTGGAAAAGTTCTGCGAAGGTAGTGATTTTTCGTGGTAGTATTGGGGAAATCAAAGAAGACAGACTCCGAATACTAAGGGAGTGTTTCTTGAAGGAAAGGGTTTCTGATGGCACCCTGGGCAAATGGTGGGTAGGTGGAGATTGCTGGCACCTGAGTCTAGACTTGACCCTTGTTGTCTCGCAGCCAGCGGTACTGTGTCTGTAACCCTGCCCTTGTACGCCAGTTCCGGAACCCAGACACCATCTTCATCCTTGCTTTTGCCATCATCCTCCTCAATACCGACATGTACAGCCCCAGTGTCAAGGCTGAACGCAAGATGAAACTGGATGACTTCATTAAGAACCTGCGAGGTGACCAGAATTTCCCATCTATTTTGCCTGCCCATCATCAGAGAAAAGAAACAAGGGTGGGGATGGGAGTAGGGTGAGAGAGATCCCAGATGTCTTTATAAATTAGCCTTCAATGCTGTCACTTTATCTCACGGCTGGATGTCCCCAGGGCATTCGCTTATTAATTCACTCAATTATTTGCCAGGCTGTGTGGGTAGCTCAGTAGCTGAGTGCTTACCTCGCATGTGCAAGGCTCTGAGTTTGATTTCCAGAACTGCAAAGAAAAACCAGGTGTTTGTCCATGTACTCACTCTCAAACCAGCTATTTACTAAGTATCGAGTCAGGTTGTAGAATATGACTCTTGTTTCAGAAAACAAAACAAAAATAGCCTAGCTCTTAAACTATTCACTCACTCAGTTATTCCTTTATCCATTCCTTATTATCGCTCTCCTTATCTTTCCTATTTATACCCACAAAGACTCATTTGATTATTTTAGATACCTTTCCCTCCATTCATTTATTCATTGAGCCAACCAACCAGTCAGCTACTTACTGGATGCTTAATGTGTACCCAGTAAAATGAGGACCAGGGACAATGGAGGGGAGTCTGCTATAGTCTCTGTTCTTAGAGCTCTCCCGGCTTAAGGGAGAGATTGACATGTAGTGCCTAGATAACCACGATAAGACAGAAAGTGAACAGTGATGTCAAAGAGGCCAATAGACAACCAGAGCTGTACGGAAGGAGATCTTACCTCCCACTGACTTCCCAGAGGACTCGAAGATGACAGACTAAAAATAGAAGAGGGCTTACCTAGCAGAAAGAATAACAAAGGCCCAGATGGAAGAAAATGTGAAGTTGTTTAGCGAACAACTGAGATGGGGCAGATGAACACTTGGGAAGGTCAAGTGGATCCACTATCTGAGGTTCTCCAGTACCAGATAAATGATGTCACTTTGATCTTTTCTTTTGGTCTATTGTAATGATGTCAAGCCCTAGCTCTTGCCAAAGAGCAGCCTACTAAAATGGCACAGATATGATTATTTCAAAAGAAATGAAAAAAGGGAAATAGAGATGTGGAGAACAAGAGAGTCGCTGACTGTCATCATTTATGTAGTTGAAGGCTTTGAGTTGTCTGGCAGCTAAGGTAAAAAGGCAGTGGGGAGAAGAACGTACTTTTAGCACTTGTGCAAGGAAGAAGTATGGTATTTCCAAAGGAGAAGTCATTTTTTTAAATAGCAGAAGCTTTAAAGAGGAGAGTGAGAAGGTTTCACTCAGCACACAGTCAAGAGTGGAAAAAGATGGTAGATTTTCTGTTTCTCATAATTCATTCATCCATACACATATGCTCACCACATATACAGCCAGTCCTCCATACCTGTGGGTTCTTCATCTATGAATTCAACCAACTGTAGATTGAAAATATCTGGGAAAAAAAACTTGTATCTGTACTGAATAATACAGTAAAACCAGTTTACATTGCAGTAGCTATTGTAAGTAATATACAGATGATTTAAAGTAACAAGAGAATGTATGTAGGCTATATGAAAATACTACCACATTTTACAAGACCAACACCTTACCATTTGGCGACTGTACTTGACTGTCCTATTTTATATATGAGACATGAGCATCTTCAGATATGAGTATTGATGGAAGATCTTAGAACCAATCGCCTATGGATATAGAGGGGGTGATTGTGTGTGTAACTGTATATATTTCCTTCAGTGATTGAATAAATAAGCAAACAAACAATACATGTTAATTTTAGGAATGTAGGGCATGAGGCTCTATTTCAGCAACAGACTGTACTTAATAATCATGAGGTCCCTGAGCTTAATGCTCAGCACTGCCAACAATTATTTTTTTCTTACATTTATTTGTTTGTTGATTGGGGTGTGGAGTGTGTGTGTGTGTGTGTGTGTGTGTGTGTGTGTGTGTGTGTGTGTGTGATGTGTGGGCGTACACATGCCATGGTGTTCTTCTGGAGGTCAGAGGACAGACATCTTGCAGGCTTTAGTTTTCTTCTTCCACATGTAGGTCCTGAGGATGGAAGTCAAGCTGTCAGACTTGGCAGCGGGCACCCTTACCTGCTCAGTCGTCTCTCTGGCCCCCGTGTATTTTCTTAGCTTACTCTTCACTTAACTTGCTACAAGGATTCTCTCACATTATTGAAATATTTTAGTAAGCATCAAGTTTATAGATAAACTATCCTTTACTTAGCTATTTCTCTATTGTTAGAAATTAAGCTGTTCCAGAATTTCTTCATAAATAGCACTTGGTGAACACTCTTTGACATCAGTCTCACATACATTTCTGAATAATTCCTTAGAATAGATTCCTTGGAAAGGAATTGATGAGTCTGAATAGTTAGGCTCCTGCCAGATTAGTTTCTGAAACTGTTACATCAGTATCCATGCCAAAGCCCTCAGATTCTTAACAACTCTGGATATTATTTTCAAGTAGTATTCCCAGTTAAGAGAGCAAAGATAGCCAGGTGTGGTGGCACACTTCTTTAATCCTAGCACTTAGGAAATATAGGCAGATGGAATGAAAGAGAGAGAGACAGAGACAGAGAGACAGAGACAGAGACAGAGAGAAGGGAGGGAGGGGGAAAGGGAAGGAAGGAAGGAAGGAAGGAAGGAAGGAAGGAAGGAAGGAAGGAAGGAAGGAAGGAAAGAAGGAAGGAAGGAAGGAAGGAAGGAAGGAAGGGAAGGTAGGAAGAAAGTCATTCATGGGGGAGGGCTGGAAAGATGGCTCAGCAGTTAAAAGCACTGCTGCTCTTCCAGAGCACCCTGGTTCAATTCCCAACACCTACATGGTGGCTTACAACTGTCTGTAACTGCATTTCCAAGGGATCCAATACCCTCTTCTAACCTCTAAAGACAGCAGGCCAGCAACATGATACACAAACATACGTGCAGACAAAAGCACTCATATATGTAAAAACAAACAAACAAACAAATAAATCTTAAAACAGAACAAAAAACCATGGAAGGAAAAAAGTAGTACCTGATTGTCTCAATTACAGTGTGTTATAAGTGTTTTAGACAAAATCCCTACCCTGGCTAAAAAAGTAATTGGCTGTTTTGTTGAAAAGCACCTTCCCCTGTCCCATTCATAGCTAAAAGACCAAGAATACCCACTTTTTTTTTTTTTTGCTAAGGTTCATGCTGGGTGTGGGAGATTATGGAGACCCCCCTACTGTCTACCCTCCATATTGACATAACATACTCCTGTGTTACATTTTTCATGTAGGGGTCGACAATGGTGAGGACATCCCCCGAGACCTCCTGGTAGGCATCTACCAGCGCATCCAAGGTCGTGAACTGCGTACCAATGATGACCATGTGTCTCAGGTGCAGGCTGTGGAGCGCATGATTGTTGGCAAGAAACCGGTGAGTGCCTGGGAAGGGGGCACTATTGTGTGGTAAGTCACTCCCCTCCCCCAGCCCCAGATTCCCCTTATCTGTAAAATGAAGTGGAAAATATTGTATTCATTGGGGATCATGGTGCAGATTATGGGAGATTCTCCATGTAAATGCATCTAGTATATTGCAAAGTTCATAGTAGGTGCTGTATAAATATTTTCTTCTCATCTATGGTTTTGTCTGCCCATCCCAAGTAAGAAGAGTCAAGCTAATATTTTCTATGAAACAGATATATTTTGGCCAACAAACATTTATGGATGGCTTATTCCTGATCCCAGCATTTTACTGGAATCCAGAGGCATAGAGTGAAATCAGACACAATTTCTGTCTTTAGGGACACTCAGAGATGAGTGAGGTTCCAAGACAAAGACACAAATAATATTTTGGCCTTGTGGTCTAATTTAGAGAAACAGAAATCAGGGAGAGGCCATTTTAAGCCAAGGGAAGTCCGAAAGACTTCTTGGAAAATAACTTTGGAATTGGCAATTTGAAAGGGGAGCAAAATACGGCCATGCAGAGCTGGGCGGTAAAGGCATTTTAGACCAATGGCTATCGGGACAAGGACAAGGTGGCAGAAAAGCTTAAGGGACTTAGTTGTTTATAGTCTTTGTGTGTCAGATGTACGTTTTGCCTTGTTAAGGTACTCAGAAGCTTGAAACTGATGGGGTGACCTTGCTGACGCCTATTTTTCCACATCTATCCAGGTCCTGTCTCTTCCTCACCGTCGACTGGTTTGCTGCTGCCAGCTCTATGAGGTGCCAGATCCAAACCGCCCCCAGAGGCTGGGGCTGCATCAGCGGGAGGTTTTCCTCTTCAATGACCTCCTTGTGGTATGGGCACTGGGCAGAAGGAAATGGGGGGAGATAGTCAGCACAGCTGCTGGCTCTAGAGCAAACCATGGTATGTGGAGTGTGGCGGGGCCAGTGCTCCGCATGCCATCTGCATGGTCTCCAGTGAGGCATAACCCTTCTCTGCCCTCCTTTCCCTTCATGTTGATGTAGTGACAGCCACACAAGGGCAGACAATGTAAGGATCAGGGGACAATGGAAGACCTATAACCTGGGATGTGGTAGGAAATGTCCCTGTCCATCACAGTAGCACAGAGCGTTATGAATCTGTGGCCCCATGAACTTTTCAGTTGTCTTGATGTTGGAAGTGATTGAAACAAAGCACATCACTGGTACGGAGATACACATCTTTTAGTGAGGGGATTTGTTGGATTCTGTGGATAAGAAGGGATTTTCAGGATTTCCTGGGCAAGAACCACTCTTCAAGATGGCTTAGCCCTGACTGCTAGAATCTGTTGTAGGTTTTTTGGGGGGAAAGGGTTTTGTTGTTGTTGTTGTTTTGTTTTGTTTTGTTTTTCTAATACAGGGTCTCACTGTCCTGGAATGCACTATGTAGACCAGGCTAGCCTCCAACTCACAGAAATCCACCTGCCTCTGCCTCTGGAATGCTAGGATTAAAGGCGTGCACTGCCACACCTGACTAGAATCTGCTTCCTAATGTGGTTCGCCTCCTACTCTATGTTCTCCACTGTTTCTCGGGATTACAAAGAATAAGTATTCCCCCTCTGCTCTGAGACAGTACTCCAGGGATTTGAGAACAGCAATTTTGTTCCTTCTTTGGTCTTGTACAATGTAGTATTTTATCTGCTCTTTGAGATACCTACTAGAAGTCAACAGCAAACCTTCAACCAAAAAAAAAAAAAGTGTTCTCCAGAGAAGAGCAAAAAAGAGGAGGGGTGGGAGAGGGAGAGAACATCTTCAGGGAAGAAAAGGTGGGAGGAACGAAAGAAAAGAAAGCAGTGTCTTCTCCATACATTCATCTGCATCCTGTGGAAGCAGGGGTCACAATCATCTCCAGTTGAGAATCACCACTTTAGAGAAAATGCCGCCAACATCCTCCCCAAATCTTAGTTGCTTGCTTCATGAAATAGTGCTAACCCTTCTCTCTTAGATTTGTCAAGAAGATGAAATAAGAAGTCAGTGCCTGGCATTTCGGTTCAGTAGTAGAGTGCTTGCTTAGTATATGCAAGGATCTGGGTTCTATTCCCAGCACTACAAAAGAAAAGAAGGGGAAGAGACAATCACACCTTAACCCTAGGCATGCCTGGCGCACACAGGTGCTGAGTCACTGTTAGATACCCTTCATGCATGGACACCCTCTGTGTATGTAGCTCTATGCTAGCCACTGAGTACATGGAGATAAATCAGACTCAGTCCTCGTTTTCAGGGACTCACAATCCAAAGGACCTAAAATGTGTTTTGCAACATGGTGTGGTGATAAACCCCTGTAACCTAAGCGTTTGGGAGGTGGAGGCAAAAGGAACAGGAAGCTAAAGTCAGACTGGGCTACGTGATGGAGGCCTTATTTCAACCACCACACCACATTCCACCAAAAAGTGTTTGACACCATGCTGTGCTGTAACCAACGTAAAACCAAACGTTTGTTTTAAGAGCCATTTGTAGGGGACGAGGCTGTATTTTAGAGATAAGGGTACTTGTCTGACTCCAGGTTTCATTCCCAGCATACAAAATAAACGAAATAAAACAGCCACTTGCAGATTGTCTGAGCTTATGTTAGTGTAGAATCCAGAATGCCTAAATACTTGATAAAGACTTTGGGTTGTTGAGAGGTTATTAATCCTGTTCACAGGCTAGGTGGAAGTTGCCGTTATAAGCTAGTTCTGGATGGTGGAGGTTGGAGTAGGTGGGAGAACCAGAAAACGAGACCCCTGCCCTCTAGGCCAGCAGGGGGAGATCACATAGTCAGAACTACCATAGAGTCTGACAAAAGAAAAGGTATAGATAGAACCGGCAACCTGGAAGCTCAAAAGAAGGAAACAGAAGTCTATGTGAGGTATTAGGATAGGCTCTCTAGAGGGACCGCATTCATTTAGTTCTTTTAAAAGTTGCAGGTGCTTGTGTATGCTCATGATGTCACGAACTTGCATTTTCTCCCTCCTCTCTGTTCCTCAAGTTTCAGTTCTCCCTTGTGGGGGTATATGTGCTCATGTGTATATGTCTGTTACTGGGAATAGGTGGGGAAGGTGGTTACTAGAAATGGGTATCGCTTGGAAATTCCCCACCCTTAACTCAGCCTCTTATCTCTTTCCCACCCTTGTTTGCCAAAGGTCACCAAAATTTTCCAGAAGAAGAAGATCTTGGTGACATACAGCTTCCGTCAGTCCTTTCCCCTGGTGGAAATGCACATGCAGCTCTTCCAAAATTCATGTGAGTCCCCTCTTGAACCCTAGCATGCATCCCAGGGTTTATCAGAGCCCATGCTCATCCTTCATCTATACTAGCTTCCAGCCTTTGAAGTCCTCTACAATTGGGTTCAAGTCTCCCAAGTATCTACTTGTCCAAGGATGAAAGGAAGTCTGGAGTATGATTTGGGTGTGGCCCCTGGAGGACATGGAACAGCAATGTTTTATGTGTTCCTTAGTGAGCAGATGTGGCAGGCACACTGTGCTTTGAAGTACTGAACTGGGAAGAGCAGGATTGAGTGCCATTCAAGAGAGCAGAGTCACTGTGAGAGGCAGAGGGACAAAGGAAATGGTTTCTAGAAAGCAGTTCAGAATTCTGTTTGCCTTTACATCCTGGAGTCTGGTATAAGGTTGCCAAGGCTACCAGGAATTTGGGGACAAGGGGAAACCACTGAAGATGCTTGGGCACAGAAGAGGCATTTCAGAGTTGGATGTTACAGAAATAATTTCCAAGATGGACAAGATGATGTGTGTTTGTAGGACAGTGTTTGAGAGGCAGAGCAGGAAAGTTACTTGAGCCCAGGAGTTTGAGACTAGCCAAATAGCGTGAGTCTGTCTCAGAGATGATTGGCAGCAGTGGGGAGTGGGCTGTATCATTTCTCAGCTTCTTGTCTTAGCCTCTTTGCTTCACACCTGACAGAAATACCCAGCTTCTCCTGTCCCCTCTCATTGGCGCAGATTATCAGTTTGGGATCAAGTTACTGTCTGCGGTACCTGGAGGGGAACGAAAAGTCCTCATCATCTTCAATGCTCCTAGCCTCCAAGACAGGCTGCGCTTTACCTCTGACCTGCGGGAGTCCATTGCTGAGGTGCAGGAGATGGAGAAGTACCGCGTGGAATGTGAGTAGCTACAGCCTTGACTCCTTCCCCCTGTCACCCGCAGATACCAAGAATCCTGTCTTCTGAGAACTGTAGAGTTGAGGGCTAGCTTGCCCAACCTTCCTACCCTCATTCTAGGAATCCTTCAGCTTCTGCCTGAATGGTTTCAGAGACGAGAGGGTCATTACTTCCTAACCTCAGATTATTATTCCAGTCATGGAGACTCTATGCTGTGCTCTCCACCCCCATCCTTTCTTCCTTCTATTGAATGGTATGAGGGAAAAGACTCAGGGAATGGGAATTAGGACTATAGCTTCATACTTCATGTCCGCTATCTGTTATCTAGGCAAGTTTGGGTGAGTTTCGTGGCCCTCTTAACCCTTTGTTTAGATCAAACAGGAATAAAGAAATCTTCACAGAGTTTGACAAGGAGCCAGACATAGTGGTTGCTCAGTACTGTAATCTCAGTACTGAGGAGGCTGAGGCAGGAAGATTTCAAATTCCCAGGCCAGCCGTGGCTATGTATTGAGTCTCTGTCACAAAGAGAGGGTAGGGAGAGGAAGAGAAAATGGAGAGGAGAGGGAGAAGTTGAAGATGAAGGAGAGGCAGAGAGAAGAGACCAGTGCATCCATGGTTTTCAACAGTATCATTTCCTGTCTCCAATCCTCAGTATCAGCTCCTGAGCTGAGGTCCAGCTCAATACCCAGGGCTTCCACCAAGTTAGTTAGATCATAGATGATGGAAAATGGTGATTAGATCTCATTCTTCCTGGTATCCTCCAGGTTTTCTTTTCTCTAAGCTAAGCAATCACAGTTAAGTAACATTGAGTGGCATTGAGGAGAAAGGAGACAGAGAGGAACAGAAGCAGTAGTCAGTTCCTTGATAGGTTTTCAGCAAGGCGGAGTATCAGTTCAGTAGAGTCCTGGAACCCCTGAGGTTCCAGGCAAGAGATTAGCTATATCAGGAGAGGCCCACTAGACCAGAGTTTCCATGACCTCGTTGGAGGTATAGGGGGTGCCCAGGGGAGCAGGATAGACCTGCTTCTAGAGTGTTGGCTTCACTGATTTCAACTGTCCAACCCCGAGCAAACTCTATGACTTCTCGAGTTCTCGGGTTCTTCTCCTGCAAAATGTAGATGATGCTCATAATGTGGAACGAGAGGGATCAAGTATGTGCTGTCCCCAGCATACTGCCTGGCACATAATAGAGGCTTTGAGGCCCATCAGTTTCATGCCCTTGCTCTTCCAAGAGCTCCGCTGCTATGAAGCAGGGCATCTGAGAACGGAGTGAACTTTGAAAGGACTGTCTTTCACCATAGGCCAGAAGGGTCTTCCCATCCTTACTATGAGTCATCTGTTGCAGAGCCCATGTTTAAAGGGCAGGGGTGTTAAGGGAGGCCTGTCTACAAAAGGGTAAAGAAATGAAAGATAACAAGAGGGGAAGGGAACAAGAAGAGTCGGCACACACTTATATTCACAGGGAGGAAAGAAAAAGAAGGGGTAGATGGCGTAGGATGGGCTGGGCACCTAAGGAGCTTTGAAGATAAGAGTTGCAGTTTGTGGGATGGGGGAAGAGTACTACTAGGGGAGTAGGGGTGGGGGAAGGGAGCAGAAGGCAGGAGGAAAACAGAGGTAGGCTGCTAGTCAATCAGGTGGGTTCTTAATGTTATTCCTGACCTTTTCCCATTTTCTCCAGCGGAGCTGGAGAAGCAGAAAGGTATGATGCGGCCTAATGCCTCACAGCCTGGAGGAGCCAAGGACTCGGTGAACGGGACTCTGGCCCGCAGTAGTCTGGAGGACACTTATGGGGCAGGCGATGGGCTCAAGCGGGGTGCACTCAGTAGTTCCCTGCGAGACCTCTCTGATGCAGGTAAGTGTTCTGGGCCCCTGCCCTGGCTGGGGAGATGCGGGACCAGGTGTCCTCTTTGCCTCCTGTCACTGGCTGCCAGCCTTCCTCCATCACACACACACACACACACACACACACACACACACACACACACACACACACCCTTCATTCAGAGCCCTGGCACTATGTCACGGGGGCCTGGTAGCCAGGTCAGAACAGGTGGGGCCCAGGGTTTCTGCCAGGGAGTATAAAGTGGGGCCACAGACTCAGCCCCTCTCCTCTTATCCCTCTTCTGTCTCTCCTTTGCTGCCTCTCCTCCATATTTTCCTCCTCTCTTTCCTCCTTTTCAGCCTCTCTTCCTCCCTACCTCCCCCTCTTCAATGGGGGAAAGGGGTAATGGGGTGTCTGTCCCTGGGAGGGACCTAGGCCTGGTGCCCAGCTCTGGAGCCCAGCAGGGTGGGGAGGGAGGGTTGCTGCTCTGACGCTGGGCTCCTTGCTTGTGGGTGCAGGGAAGCGGGGGCGGCGTAACAGCGTGGGATCGCTGGACAGCACCATCGAAGTAAGTGTCAGCTCCTGCCCCACTCATTGTCTGCATGAGCCCTGCCCTGGCCATGGAGCCCCAGAGGAGGAGGGGACCTGTTGCCTACCCCCCTCTTCCGTGCTGGGAACCATATGGCTGCCTCTCCCAGCCAACCACTTTCTCCATCTGTCCTCAACTCTGTCTGTCCTCACTCTGCCTGTCTCTCAGTCTGTCTTCCACTCTCCCATGTCCCTTCTTAACCCCAGGGCCAACTCCAAATAGGGATGCCCTTGGACTTGGGCCTCAAGAAACTTTAACTTCCAAATCCTGCTCTTTGACCTGGAGCGAGTCACTCTGCCTCTCTAGCCTAACATTTTCTTGGCCTGAGAAATGGTCATGAGAAGGAGGTCCTACTGATTCTTCCTCTGCCCTCTGAGGTTCAACTGAGGTAGTGGATGTGGCAACAGAGCTGGGGAGCAGAGCTGGCCACAAATACAGGACTGCTGTTTGGTTTTTGCTGTTACTTTGGGGTCCCTGTTGCTCCAGCTTCAGGGACAGGGGTGGAGTTTAGGGCTGGGGGTTTAGGGTATTTAGACTGGCCTGACTTCCCCCCCTCCCCCCTTTCAGGGGTCTGTTATTAGCAGTCCACGCCCTCACCAGAGGATGCCACCTCCGCCCCCACCCCCGCCGCCAGAGGAGTACAAGAGCCAGAGGCCAGTCTCGAACTCCTCATCTTTCCTGGGCTCCCTATTTGGAAGCAAGAGAGGCAAGGGGCCCTTCCAGATGCCACCACCGCCAACAGGCCAGGCCTCTGCCTCGTCTTCATCTGCTTCCTCCACCCACCACCACCATCACCACCACCACCATGGTCACAGCCATGGTGGCCTGGGGGTGCTACCTGATGGGCAGTCCAAGCTCCAGGCCCTGCATGCCCAGTATTGCCAAGGACCGGGCCCTGCCCCACCACCCTACCTCCCACCCCAGCAACCCCCTCTGCCTCCACCCCCTCAGCAGCCTCCACCCCTGCCCCAGCTGGGCTCCATTCCACCACCACCTGCCTCAGCCCCACCTGTGGGGCCACATCGACACTTCCATGCCCATGGCCCAGTTCCAGGACCCCAGCATTATACCTTGGGCCGGCCAGGCAGAGCCCCAAGACGAGGGGCTGGAGGACACCCTCAGTTTGCTCCACATGGCCGCCACCCCTTGCACCAGCCCACATCCCCGTTACCCCTGTACAGCCCTGCTCCACAGCACCCTCCTGCCCATAAACAGGGCCCCAAGCACTTCATCTTCAGTCACCACCCACAGATGATGCCAGCAGCAGGTGCAGCTGGGGGCCCTGGGTCCCGGCCACCAGGGGGATCCTACTCCCACCCTCACCACCCCCAGTCGCCCCTGTCACCACACTCACCCATCCCACCTCACCCCTCCTACCCGCCCCTGCCCCCACCCTCACCCCACACCCCACATTCACCCCTCCCACCCACCTCCCCCCATGGCCCACTGCACGCCTCTGGGCCCCCTGGCACGGCTAATCCACCCAGTGCAAACCCCAAGGCCAAGCCAAGCCGGATCAGCACTGTGGTCTGAGGAATGGAGTGAGTGTGCTGGGGAACAGGATAGTCTGGGGAAATCCACGGGAGAGGGACCTGGCCCCCTCTCTTCTTCCTCGGTTTTTTCAAACTATATATACACTCAGCAGTGTCCTTCTTTCCACTTCCTCCATATCTCCAGACCCTTCTTCCCACCCACCCCCCGCAGTCGTCATGGGGTTGCCTTCCAGATTGGAGGGCCCTTGCCACGTGCGGCCTGAACTTAGGCCCTGCAGTGCTGGGAAGTGGGGGGGGGGACCTCTCCGCAGTCCTTGTCCTCCTTTTCCTGTCTTCCTCTTCTCTTTCTTGTCCCTGGAGGTCTGGTTGGTGACCTCAGACCTCTGGACAAATGTGAGCTTCCTTGCAAGCTGGTGGAGAAGGCAGGCTCCTGGAGCTGTGAGAGGGAAGGCTTCCCTAGAAACTCCTCTGCTGTGTGGGGCTAGGACAGAGCTCTGCCGAGCTCTGGCCAAACCTCAGGGCCTAGCCACACACCTTCATGTGTCTTTCTGCCTGCTGGAGGACACAGACCATCAGTGCACTCCGTGGGTGGGACCCCGCTTGTGCTGGCCCCCACTGAGGGCAGTGCTTCCTCTCTTGAGCCAGTCTGTGTGCGCCCTCTCTCCTAATAGGCCCCAGCCCAGACCTCTTTGGCTTCAGGAACCTGCCTTGCCCTGCAATGTTCTTATCCTGATCAAAGTCCAGACAGGTTTTTTTTTTTTGGAGGTGGAGGGGGGGGCTCAGGTCTGGGATGAGAAGGGTACTGCCCTCCCTCACCCATATTGCATGCCCGCCCCCATTCCTACTTTTCCCACCAACAACTGAAGACAATGCACTTTACAGATATCACCCACACATATCTCACTGGGGCAGGGCACCCAGCATCAGCCCTGGGGAAAGACTCCCAGAGGACCACCCTGAGCCCAAGATGTCCTTCCTGAGGCAGAGATTGAAGCCATCAGAGCTGGGGCTGCGAGCCAGAATGCCCAAGCCCCTCTTGTTCATCAAAATCTCCACTGCCTCGCCAGCCCTTTTGCAGCCCTGTTTATTTATTATAAATATATTTTTTACAAGTCCCAGCTCCTCTTCTTGCCCTACACATCCAGCTCCTTCCACAGTCCCTGCCTTCCTCTCCCCTGTCCAGTATGGGCTGCAGTACAGACAGACAGATGGACCCTCTATGTCAAAGGGTCCCTGGGGCTTAGGGTGATGGGAGGGTGTTGGTGGGAGGGACGGTATGGAGAGGAGCGGGGGTTCAGGCATTGTCTTTTTTCCCTCCTTGTATATAAGAATGTATATTTGATGCCTCATAAAAGACCTTGTGCTCACCTCTGGCCTCTGCCTCCTACTTCTGCCCCTTCCCCACCGTGCAGCCCATGGAGAGAGAGGCACCAGTCCAGGGAGGTGATGTGCTAATGGTAATTCAGACAACTGGGTCGGCACGATGCTTTGGTTGGGTAGGAGGGTAGACAAGGGTCGGGTTTCTGTCTCATTTCATATGTTGTCTGCGTGACAGTGGCAGGAGTGTGGGCTTTGGAGTTGATCCAGTCCATATCCTGAGTACACACTTGGGCACAAGAGTTTCAGAGAATCATCCTCCCAAGTCTTCGTCACTTAAATTTACCACTTGGGATGACCACGTGTTGCTATGCTATCAAATTTGGAGGTCACAACCTGTGCGCAGAGTTAGGTTCAACCACTTGTCTTCAGTAAGCCAATTAAAAAAGAGGAGCCGGGCGGTGGTGGCGCATGCCTTTAATCCCAGCACTCGGGAGGCAGAGCCAGGCGGATCTTTGTGAGTTCGAGGCCAGCCTGGGCTACCAAGTGAGTTCCAGGAAAGGCGCAAAGCTACACAGAGAAACCCTGTCTCGAAAAACCAAAAAAAAAAAAAAAAAGAGGAAAGTACTGAGTGGCGGTGGCACACGCCTTTAATCCCAGCCGGGCAGATCTCTGAGTTCAAGGCCAGCGTGGTCTACAGAGAGCTCCAGGACAGGCACCAAAACTACACAAAGAAACCCTGTCTTGAAAAACAAAAAAAAAAAAAAAAAAAAAAGGAAAGCAGAATGAAAAAGCGATTTATTCAATGTGACGGTATTGGGAAGAAGAACGAAGAGGTCTAGAGAACCCCCCACATCTGTCTTCAGGGTCCTGAAGGGAGGTCAAAGTTTTATATAGAGGGTCAAGGATAGGCACATGGAAGCAGGCTGGGTCAAGGCGAGGTCCGAGCCACCATTGACCCTTCCTTGTCTGGCTTTAGTCCCTTTCCTGTATGGTGCTTTGAACTAGGTAAAATCTCTCTCCTGGAGACAAGTTCTCCTGGCATGAGATTCCTGGGGAAATCCCCTTTCTTTGGGGCCCATTGTTTGAATAATCTGAAAGTCAGATTGAGAGACACAACTGTCTCTTTAAAATATTCAAGCTAGAGAGATGGCTCAGTGATTAAGAGCACTTCCTGTTCTTGCTAAGGACTGGAGTTTGATTCCCAGCACCCAAATGGTGGCTCACAACTATCTATAATTCCACAACTCTGGGGGATCCAACACACTCACTTGCATATACTCACATATGCATACACACATATGCATAATTGCAGATAAAAATAAATCTTTTTAAAAAGAATTCTTTTTAAAAAGAATATTTTCCTTTCTGCCAGGCTAGTTACAGTTACATAGAACTGTGATAACTGTATGAACTAACTAATTCCAAGCAGCTAGGATGGAGTAGATATTCAGCAAAATAGTTCTCTGGTCTTCTTTGTAGAGGTTGGCCATGTGGAAAGCATGTGGCCTCTGTTCTCACCCTTCCTGTGACTGGCCTGGTTTTGCCTTGAAACCCCTGCTATTGGCCCTCCATGCAATGGCTGGCCATATTTTTGTTCTTGAGGGCAGGGAAGTGACTTGAGCCAGGAAGCCTGGGTCTAGATTCTTTATATGTGCTCTGCGTATACATCTAGGATATTAAATAACAAAGAGCTATCTTTCATTTACAGAGGAGACAAGCCACACAGCAAGTCAAGATGAGGTTTTTCTTGACTTGTAGCCCAGATCCATTTCCACTGGCCCAAGCTGCTTCCCTGTAAAATGGACCCATTTCTAGCACCAATAGTTATGCCCTGGGTCTCAGCCTAGCACAGGACAGATGGGGCAGAGTAATGGCTCTTAGAGTCAGCAGGGTCTGACAATATTCAGTTGATAGTTTTGCTGCTTTCACAGAACCTGAAAAGGTAGAATGGTTTAGATGACCATACACTTCTTGGATCAGTGCCTTTGATTTCTTCCTGGTAAAGCATGCTGAAAGGCCATCCAAAGAAGATAGCTAGCAAGAGCAGCAGCTAGAGCCATATAAGCATTTGGTGCCTCCCTATGAATTGGACCTGAGTGTTTGAAGAGCCCAGATGTGGGGTCCACACAACATGTTTTGGTTTCTTCCTTGGTGGACTAAGCTAGGCTATCCTTGGTCTCTCCCCATTTTTTCTACCTTCGGCTGGAGATGGGCTCTATGTAGGCAAAGTTTAGCCTTTAGCACTCAGATACTGACCTGTGCTTCTCTGGCAATTCACCTGACACCTGCCTGCCCCCCCCCCCCAGCCTGGTTTACAGGACAATTGTTAGCTGATGCATGTAAAATGCCTACCTCCTGCCAGACTTACAGTCAGCTGTTCTCAGCACTACAGAAATAAGTGCAAAAGTTAGGAGTTCTTCACAGGATGCCCTAGCCAAGATCTCAGAAGTCCCCCCTGCCTCCCGCCCCCCCCTCTCTCTCACACACACACAATTGATGAATGGAATTTTTAAAATTAAAAAAGTTACAGAATTCCAAAGGAGTGGTAGTACAGAATAAACACTCTCATTCCATAAGGAATGAGGATACAGAAAGGACGGACAGGACCAAGGCAAGGCTGAAAACCAAGTAGGGTGAACATTACATCCTGTAACTTCATGTCTGGTGTCTAGGGCATGTGGTATCATAATGTGGCATCCAAAGGGCCTGGAAAGTCCTGCCCCTCTGGCCCTTCTGTTGGAGCCCACATGGCCCCTTTCTTGGGCTGGCCCTGTTGGCTGGCTGAAGCTTTCCTTAGCAGACGTTTCCATTTCCCTGACGTCTTGAACTTCCCGGGATCCCCACAGACTTTTCAACTTCACCCTCACAGCTTTACCTGTTGCCCTCTCAAGGGTTGCCTGTAGGGGTGCTGACAGAAACCAGGTGATGACACATGCTTGTACACACAGCCCTTGTGAGAGGTGGTGGCAGGAAGATTTGAAGTTCAGGGGTAACTGAGTTATATAGAAAGTTTGAGATATACTTGAGACCCTGTCTCAGAAAGCCCCAAACTAAACCAAACCTAAATTAATCAGCATCATGAGGATGGTGGCCAACTTCTGCTGTCAACTATAGGATGAGGGACTTAGACCATGGCACTCCCTGTCTTGTAGTGCCAGGATGACAGAGAGTAGGAAAACATTTCCCTAGGAAGTGTGAGCATTGGTCATGAGTGTATGTGTGTGTGTGTGTGTGTGTGTGTGTGTGTGTGTAGGCCAGAGGTTGATGTTGTGCATCCTCCCATCTTATTTTGGGGATAGGGTCTCTCACTAAACCTATCCATCAGTCCTTAGGGATCCTCCTGTCTCTACCTCAGTGCTGTGATTACTTGGCTTTCTTACGTGGATGCTGCGGGTCAAACTCAGGTCCTCTTGCTTCTGTGGCAAGCACTGTGCCAAATGACCCATCTCCTCAGCATTTTGCTCCCAGAGCTCTTTTTAATTAAAAAATATTTACTTATTTATGTACTTATTTGTGTTTGTGTGCATGCTGTGTGTGGGAGGCAGTGGCACATGTGGTAGAGATCAGAGAACACAACAACTTGTGTGAATTGTTTTTCCCCCCTTCTTCTGTATGGGTTCCAGGGATCAAACTCAGGTCGCAGGCTTAGTAGCAAGTGCCCTTACCCACTGTGCTATCTCATCACCCAGATTTTTGTTTGGTGTTTGTTTTGGTGTTTTTCGAGACAGGGTTTCTCTGTGTAACATCCCTGGCTGTCCTGGAACTCACTTTATTGACCAGGCTGGTCTTGAACTCTCAGAGATCTGCCTGCCTCTGCCTCCCAAGTGCTGGGATTAAAGATGTACACCAACCACCATCTGGCTCACCCAGTTTTTTTAAAGCAAAAATTTACGTTCCTGAGACTGGGATTAGTGGGATCCTACCAATTTCTGATATAACCTTAAGGCATTTTCCTATTATTCTAATTCAAACTGCTTCTTTTTAACTGTCTAAATCTTTCTCCCTTCTCTTTTCTCCCTCTCCCTCTTTCCTTCAAACCACAGCCTTTTCCCCATCTCACTCCTTCCTTCTTTCTTTCTTTCCTTCTTTCCTTCCTTCCTTCCTTCCTTCCTTCCTTCCTTCCTTCCTTCCTTCCTCTCTTTCTTTTTCTACCCTTCCCTTCCATCCCTTCTGATCTCCATACTTCTCTCAATTTCTGAGACTGGGTCTCAGTATGTAGTTAGCCTAGGCTGGCCTCTAACTTAGGTTCTTCTTGTCTCAACTTCTCAAGTGCTGGGAATAATTGTGCACCGCCACACCTGACTCCATTAACATCAATATTTTAGTGTCCAAAATGCATTAGCTGGGCATGATGGCACTGGCCACCAATCTCAGCTACTCTGGAGGCTGAGGATGGAGGACCACAAGTCCTAGCTTGGGCTACAGGACTGAAAAGTGAGTTCAAGACCAGCCTGGGCAACCAAGACTCTGTCTTTTTTTTTTTTTAATTATTTTATTGTATGTGTAGGGGTGTTTTGCCTGCATATATGTCTGTATACATGTGTGCCTGGTGCCTGTGGCCAGAAGAGGGCTTTGGATCCCCTGGAACTGGAGTTACAATTATGAGCTGCCATGTGAGAATTGAACCTAGGTCTCTGGAAGAGCAGACAGGGATCTTAACCACTAAGCCAACTCCAGCCTCCCTACACCTTTAGGCCAGTGAGTGAGACCCTGTCTTATTCTACCTACTCACCTCCAAAAAAGAGAGAGATTAAGATTTAGACATTAGGATTATAGATCTACGTTAATAATATCATCGTATTTGGAAAAAGCTTCAGCATCTATTGATGATTTTCCAGGTCCATTATTCCTTCCATATTTTTTTTTAGAATTCTAAAAGTTCTCAGATGAGTATAGTGATATATAATAATCCTAGACCTTAGGAGGTGGAGGCAAGAGGATCAGGAGTTCAAGGCCAGCCTGGGTTCCATGAAATCCTGTCTCTAAAAACCGAAAGAACAATAAACAAACTTTCCCTTTTCTCTATTTTTCTCTATGTATATCAGTGTGGAGT